CCTCGGCACTCAGGCTTCCTGGACACCAGCCCTCCGCACACCGCCCTTGGCCGGCTCTCTTCTCCCCCTTTCCGAGGGCGACCACGGAGCCACATCCCCAGCCCTGTTTTGAATTGTATTTAGAGCCAGCTGAGGCTGGCTTTGAACTCCCGATCCTCCTGTCTCAGCCTCCGGAGCTGCTGCGAGTACAGGCGCACGCCATGGCGCCGAGCTCTTAACTTTTTTTTTTTTTTTAAGATATTCCTTTATTTTAAAAAATAAATAAATAAAAAGTGGGCCTTTATTTTGTTCATTTATTTATACACGGTGCTGAGGATGGAACCCAGTGCCTCACACATGCCAGGCAAGTGCTCTACCACTGAGCCAAAACCCCAGCTCCTCATCATCATCTTATATGACTGAGACATCTCAAAGCTAACATGTCCCCAAAGTGATTTTTTTTCTTCACCCAAACTGCCCCACCTAAAGCCTTTCCCATTTCAGTTGAAGGAAACTCAGATATTGGACTCACCTTAACTCCTCATATAGTTCATCAGGAAATTCTGTAGGTTCTACCTTTAAACTATTTCAAGAATCCAACTGCCATCACCTCCAGTGCTCTGCTCTGGAATACAACACTATCTTTCTCTTGGATTATTGTAATACTCTCCCAACAGATCTCCACAGCTTATTTGTACTATAGCGTTCAGAAGACTGTCTCTAAAAACTTAATTCAGATCATGCACCCAATACTTTGTAATGACTTACCCTTTACCTAGAGGGGGGGAAATCCATACAGTGATCTAGAAAGTACTATACAATCTGGTCTCATTAGCTCTACAGCTTATACTGTCCCACTCACAGTGGCCACTTTGCAGTTTCTTGAAAACCCTAGGCACATTTCCTGCAGCCTTGGCTGTTGCTTCTGAATGTAATGCTCGATTTATCCTCAGACACTGCTTGGTTAACAAGCATAACTCCCCCAATTTTTTATTAAATGTTACCTCTCCAGTGGGGTCCATTTGAATAATTGGTTACTACAACCCTCCTCTACCCCTTTCACACTCTTAATTTCCCTTTATCCTGTCCTCTGCTCCATAGCAGTTATTTTCTAACATTATTTTCTAGGTTTGTTTTCTCATTTTAGGAGAGAAGGATCTTTGTATTGGTCAATGATATGTCCCAAGCACTTAGAATAGTGCCTGGCTCATAGTAGGCTCTCAAATATTTGCTGAATGGATGGTTAAATGAATATGCAGAGAGGTCTTCGACTAGTGGCCCCCTAACCAAACTTTGCTCAAAGTGTTAATTAAAAAAAAATGGTACTGGAAATTGAACCTAGGAGTGCTTTGTCACTGAGCTACATCCCCAGTCCTTTTTATTTTCAGACAGGGTCTAAGTTGCTGAGGGTCTTGATAAATTACTGAGGCTGGCCTTGAACTTGTGATCCTACTGCCTCAGCCACCCAAGTCACTGGAATTACAGTGTACCCAGCACAGTGTTAATTTTTTATCATCAGTAGCCAGTATATTTTTAAATACTGAAGTCTACCACAAATCCTGTCTTTCTAGTTTTTGTTAAAAAAAAATTATAAGATCTGGCACCACAATTCTTCATTTCCACATGACAACCAGATGCAGCTGAGTTGTGAGGACTTCTTTGAGATGGGGTGTAAGCATCCTATTTTTTTTAATATTTATTTTTTAGTTTTAGGTGGACACAATATCTTCATTTTTATGTGGTGCCAAGAATCGAACACAGTGCCTCACGCATATCAGGTGAGGGTACTACCACTTGAGCCACATCCCCAGTCCCCCATTTTTTTTAACAGCCCTACCCTGCAGCTCCACTAGCTGTCTGGGTCCCTGGAAGCATGTAGTTTGTAATTCCTACCCTATAAGGCAATGGAGAAAGTTCAACAATTTGTAGTACCCCTGGGTTAAGGGAAGAGATAATAAAAAACTGAACTGAGAACTAACTAAAGATGACAATGCAGGATGGGGGCCTTGGAAGCGTCAGATACCAACTCTTTAGTTGGTGGATTTTAGGGGGAGGAGGCATCTCAGAGGAAGGGCCAGGGAGGGTGGGCACTAGTGTTCAGACAGGCCTATTTGCCAACCAGTACAGAAGTTTGCCATGAAGCACATAGTATTTAAATATGAGCCTTGGTGATAGGGTGGGGCCCTGAAATGACATATGGGCTGACCCCTCATCTATGTCATAATGCCTGCCAGGTCACAATGAACAGGATGCTTCAAAAGGGGACTGGAGCTGTGGAGCTCACTTTGCCGCAGGGAGGCACTGAACAGAGAAACTGCCTTGTAACAGGTCCCGCCCCTCCCTTTACTCCCTCTGTTGTCTTCGGAGGGGAAGATCACGGAACTGCTGCTATCCCTGCTATCCCACCTGGTCACCATACGCCTACTATCTTTACTCCTACAAATACCGGATGAGCCTCCGGGAGAAAATGCTGCCTTGGTGTTATCCTTATAAAAGGTAACTTTTCATCTTTGTGGTTATTTCTATAAACTGTAAGGGAAAATGAAAATTTCAAAGAATTTCCCCAAGTGGCAGGAAATAATAGCAAAATGAGAATAGAAAGATGGCATGGAAACTAACTTTTCCATGTGGCTGACCTGGGAAAATGAAAACAGACTGCTAATGTGGACAGTACAGAAGACTGCCTGTCCCTGGGTACCAGCTATGACTCTTCTCATCTCAGATTTCAATGTGAACTAATTCGTCTCTCCCTCCCAACCAGTTACACTTACAAGGAACACGAGGATTTGACCCTCAGGCCCCGCTGCTGCCTCCAGTGCTCCTGAGTCCCCAGTAGGCCTCCAGGTGGGCAGAAGTGCTGAGCAGGGAAAAGACCACGACCAGCTTAAAGAACTGTACTCGGTAAGTGGACTGTGAGCCAGTGCTGTGGCAGGGCAGCCTCTGTAATACCTCTCAGAGGGGCGTTAGCAATTTGGAAAATGAACAGCAAATTTAGCAGATGGGACCATAGACCTCTTGTGTAAAAGCTATTTAATTTATAGAGAAGGGTTCCGGCCCAGAGATCTTAAGGTCATACAATTGGTAGTGAAGAGGGATGAGGAAAAAAGTGGGAACCAAAGTACACTGGACTATATTAGGATTTCTGGAACATAAAGCTATTTAGATGCTAAACTGGTCTACAATCCAGAACTCCTGCCCTTGCTCTGGTATTGTATGGCAGTAATATGTCTACTCATAACCTCTGCATTTTAAATGAGAAAAGGGGGTATTGAGAGAATCTCCATAATGACAAAAGTGGAAGAATAGTGAGTGGGAAAGGATCTAGATAATGAAGCTTAGTTTGAACAATAAGCCAGATTGTTTAGAGTTCAGTAACAGGGGGTGGCTTTAGTTCCTACAGTTTTGAATCCTTAAGACATTGGCTCCACTTCTCAGAGGCTCCTCTATCTTCCCTCCTTGGTTTCTGATGCAGGGACTATTACACTCATTTTTATTCCTCTTCCAGGCTGGGAACCTGACAGTGCTTACTACTGACCCCCTGCTCCACCAGAATCCAGTACAATTAGACTTCCACTTCCGCCTCACCCCCAAGACCTCCACCCACTGGCACGGCCTTCTTAGTGACCACCGGCTCTTCCTGGATATCCCATTTCGGGCCTTGGATCAGGGCAACCGGGAAAGGTGACTAAATTCGGATGAGTGGGGAGGAAGGGGTGGAGAATGTCACCCTTCTATCATGTCACAATCAGTAAGTGGGCCTGGATACAAAACACTCAAGAGGCATGGAGATGAGTGAGTTGAGCCAGGATCTGGGGAACGAGGGATAACAATTCATGGGAAACTGCTGGACTTAGTGGGGATCCAGCAATCATTGAACAGGAAGTACTTTTGAGCTAGTCCCTTCTTCCTAGACCTGCTTTATGGCTTGTACTCAGATCAGTTGTGTGCAATCCCTTGGCTTCAGAGGAAAAAGCTACTAAATCTAGTGTTGGGTGGCTGGAGAGAAGAAACTGACCAATATTTCTTCTGCTTCAACTAGGTGTCTTTCTAGATTGAGCTTGGCTGAGCATGTCATTAACTGTTTTTCTCTGGCCTCTAGTTTGACAGCAACACTGGAGTATGTGGAGGAGAAAACCAATGTGGACTCCGTGTTTGTGAACTTCCAAAATGATCGGAAGGACAGAGGTGGGGAGCTGCTGTCCTTCATCCTTTATATTCAGGCAGCTTGAGAACTCCTTTTCCTTTGTAGGAGTCCCTCTTCCCCCCACTCTTAAACAGGGATTTTTTTCTCTAAAGGCACTAAACATTCTGTAGTCAAGTTAAAACTGGACTATTAGGAAGCCCCTGCAGGTGTGTCAGAGGCCAGACTAAGGGAGCATTGGTGAAATTACACAACTATTCAGGGCCATTCTTCAAAAACAGATACAATTCAGAGTTTATCAGAATTTACTGTGCTAAACACTTAAGCACATTTAAATTCCATGAAGGAGGTTCTGGGATCCTCACTTCACAAATGAGAACTGAAGAATCAAAGGGTTAACCCAGAATGTTACAAGCAAGTGTTAAATCCAGGGCTGGAGCCTAGGTCTGTTCCAGTCCAAACACCCTAATTTCTGCACTACATAGCCTCACAGCCAGAGGCCACCTTCTTAGCTGAAGAAACCAAATCTCCGGGGCAACCTGTGGCTTGAGCTTCAGTGTTCTAACCATTTGTTTTGTCATTCACAGGTGCTCTGCTGCGGGCCTTCAGCTACATGGGCTTTGAAGTGGTCAGACCAGATCATCCTGCCCTCCCTCCCTGGGGCAATGTCATCTTTATGGTGTACCCCCTTGAAAGGGACCTTGGCCATGTGCCCAGTGAGCCTCCCTAAACATGCTTTTCCAACTCTGAGGGGCTGGAAGCCTTAACCATGGGACTTGAGCCCAGGTGATTCAGGGCACCTCCCCTGGGCACCTCCATTCTAGGAATAAAGGGTAGTGCAATCATCAAGTGTGTGTTTGCTTTTTCTTGGGGGGTGTAGGGATGGCTGGAGTAGAACATGAGCCTGACAGAGTTGAATTGACCGAGGGACCCCAAGCCAGAAGGGACTCAAAAAATTTTAGGTTCCTTTTATCTTCCCCTAACCCAAAAAACACTTCCTCATTTACTGAGCAAAAGGAAAGGGCAAATGGAAAGGACAAAGACCAATCAACAAAGGGATTGTTAAAATGCTTTCATCCACAAATTTCAGTTCAAATTAGAGAAACCAATTGTGGGGGAAATTGAAAAGGTACATGGATCCTCCTGGCTTTGGCCCACTTTAAAAACATCCCATTTAAATTCTAAAACTGAAGATTGAAAATCAAAGGGTTAACCCAGAATGGCTTTGTCCCAGGGGAAGATGGACAAGGTTAAGAGGCAGCAGAGAAAAGGGCCCCAGAGAAAAGGGCCCTCCAGACAGCACCTCTACATAAAGGCCACATTAAAGGAACAGATTTTTATACACAGTAATGAACTGCAGATAAACTATTGACTTATGAATAATTTGTATTTGTGTTAGGGAGTTAGGGACCTCTATTCATGAAAGACCCCTTAAAAGGTAGCTTCAGCAAGGGCACGGTGGCACATGCCTGTAATCCTAGCAGCTCAGGAGGCAGGAGGTTGGGAGTTAAAAGCCAGCCTCAGCAAGAGTGAGGCTCTACAGTGAGACCGTTTCTAAATAGAAAAATAAGTCTGGCTTAGTCTGGCTTAGTGGTTTAGTTCAATCTCTGCTACACCCCCCCCCCCCCCCCCACCGCCCCCCTCCCCAACAAAAAGGTAGCTCCAATTCTAGAGCTGAGCACACTTCACTGCAATCAGCACCTGAAATATCCAATTAACAGAAACCTTCCTGCATTCCTCCAAGACTATAAGATCTATTCAAAGCTGTTCCTTTACAAAATTGAAAATTATGGTTGTGAGAATACAGTTGCCAAGCAGCATGCAGACAAATCTAACATTCCTTTAAAAAGGGCCTGCCTAAGGCATTCTTATATACCATTTTTTTTTCCAGTTTGCCTTGATACCATTTTTTTTTTCCAGTTTGCCTTGTCCTCAAAGGTTCATTTCATTGCCCATTATTGTTACCCAGATTACACACACACTCTCCATAGTCACTCTCTCATAGGTTAAACCCTGGGATGCTTTACCACTAAGCTACATCCCAAGCCCTGTTTGAAACAAGTTGCTCAGGGTCTTAAGTTGCTGAGGCTGAACCTGCAATCCTCTTGCCTTAGCCTTCCAAATCACTGGGATTATAGACATGTGCCATTATACTCGGCTACATTTACATTTTTAAGTACCTTCACGGTTCTCACTGAAACCTCATAGTACCATCAGAAACGGATATGTGCTAATGAGGAAAAAGGATACCTAAAGTCTTAAGTTTATAATGGAGACTTATTCTTGGAATCCAGGATTCTAGCTCCAATAGTTTAGGAGGGATTCTTATTTATATAGCCTAAACCTAAATTGGTCTGGTTTTTAATGAATGATTGGTTAGTTCTGAAGTAACATTAGGGAAAGAATATGAATTATATATGGAAGGGTGTTTCCCAGGCTGAAAAAGAACACAGTCTAGCAGAAAAAAGAACATTTTTTTCATAGATGGTCCCCTTGTCACCAGATTTAGACTCAGAATATATTTTACCTACAGGTCTGCTTCCACTTTGTGATTTAATGAGCATTTAATTTTTTTGAGAACTTTATTAAGCAAAGACTTCCTCCAAATGATTTAAACAGAACTATACATGTGTGTTCTCTCTCAAGGTGTGTATATACACATACAAGTACTATACTAGCAATTTAGAGTATTTCCTGAGTCACATTTCTCCTTTTCTACTTGTATTTTAACTAAAGTTCACAAAGAAATAACACATCAATTGAGTCTGAGAGGTGGTATTCTCTTCCCACCTCCTGAAGATTTTTTAATACATTTAGGCTGATTTTTGCCTTTGCCTCCTGATTTCAACTACAGTCTTCGAGTTCCCTGTTCAAACACTTCCCTTAACCAGTCACCTTTTGAGGCGAGTCATAAGTCTGCAGAATCATTTCTAATGACCAAACTCTGGCTGTTTCCCAGCTGAAAAAGAACACAGTCTAGCAGTGATGTGCATTACGACTGGCAGAGGACACAACATCCAAACACTGAAAGATAGGGGAGGGATGGAGAAGGAGGTGAGGTGGGTGATGTCTTCCTCTCCTCCACACTATTTCTGGTAATTCAATGGAAGGAGAAAATGGATCTGGTCCACAGCAAGCCACACTGTGTAATAAAGGACTGTATGGATCTCTTAGACTCTTCTCTCTAGGCACCAAATCATGTGCCAAATCCTGCCAAAGACACAAACACACAGACAAAAAGCTTGAAAGGGCTCAACCTGAGAGCAAATTGAGCTGCAGGAAAGCAACTGAGGAGAAATATTTAAAGGTAGGGCATAAGAAGCGGGAATAAAGCAAGGCCCCTACTGTCACCTCATTACTTCCCTGTTGCTATAGATAGATGATAGCTCCACTCACACAGCAAAGCAGATGGCTGAGCCACTGGAAGCCCAGACTTCAGAGTAAGTAGTCATCTTCAAGGTTATCATCACCAGACATAGAGGCAGCTTCTAATGAGCAGAAATGAGAAAGTTAGACCTTGCGCTACTCTAATAGGTACTCCAGGCCCAGGAGAAAAATGGGTTCTTGGTGCTCAATGACCTAAGAACCTAGCTTTAATTTAACCTCACTAGTCTGGAGAGCCAAAGGTGCTTTAGGTGGGCAATGCTGTTTGTACCTGATAAGCTGAGGCAGGACAGGGTATGTGCCATCTCTCCAGGGCTTTTTTTGGATTCAGTGAGCATGCTGGCAAGAGAGGCATCTGTTTCTGTGGCCTGAGGACATGAAAACAAGAGAAAAAGGAAGAACATCTTGGTGGGTGGGAAAGGAGAGACTATCTTACCATTTTGTTCATAGAATCTGGTTGAGTTTGGCTTCTAAGAGGAATACAATGCCTCCTTTGATTAACATTTTCCAAGTAGTTTGGAAAATGAAGTAATCTAAAGGTTCCCAGGGGCAGCACAAGCTTCAGTTCACTGAAATTTTACAAAATGTCATAACTAGAATGTTTTTCCAGCAGAGCACCCTAAATGACTACAATGGCTTACTTACCCCATCCTTTAACATGTCAGGGACAGCTCTGTTTTCTTCCACATCTTCAGGAAGCTCAACTGCATATCCTTTACGAACTAATTCTAGCCCAATATCAAGTTTCTAAGAGAAAAAGTGAAAAAGAATAATGACCTTTCTGTAAGAAAGGGCAAATCTGAGGAAACAGGACAGAAGAGCTGGGATTGATACTTTAGATCTTCTTTTGATGGGATGGTGAATAAGATCTAACAAAGTATGAGTAATATCAAGTAAGGGTTTCTGGGAAAGAAAGAATAAATGATGTTATGAAAACCCACAAGAAAATGTAAATATTACATGAATTCCAGTCTTACCTTCCCATTGCTTGTGTCATATAAATAGATCTTTGGCCAAGTTGAGATCCCAGTCTGGACATAGCTAGAGATTTTGGCCACCAGGGGTTTCCAATCAGCACAGTGGGTCAGTCTGTCAAACTCATCCAAAGCTTCCTCTTCCCACTGTTCACCTGGTAGGAAATTTTAAATAGGGGTGCCTCGGGAGGGGTCAGTGCTATCAGGGTGGGGATTATACCCTGGAAGGAAGTTGGAACCACCCCTCTCTATCCAGGAAGGCATTTATGTTCTCTGGGGAGTTCAGGTCTGATAGCTGAGCAAGTTTCTGGCTGTTGTTTCCTTGAGTTAGTAGGGAAAAGGCACCTCCTGTGTTCTATATGAATGTTATTCAACTTGAAGGCAAGGTCAATAGGTGGCATGACTGATTTACCTGAGGGGGCAATCCGGGCCAGACTACATTCTATTGCTTGAAATGGAAGGCTTAGGAAGTCACTCCTAAAATGAAATAAATCCAACTTAGAATGCAAAGGCTAGAAGGGACACCTCATATTCCTTGCTTTTACACAAAACCAACTAATCTAGAGCCAGAAGTTACTCACTTGTTCTCTATAAACAGGTTCCCTTCTGAACTGCCCCGGTGATGAGTGCCAACAACTCACCACTCGATGACCATAGCTGACTCCACCCTGGCCTCCACACTGACCTGAGAGCCCTGAGGTCCTTCAGTGGGCAATCTCCATTATCTCCAAAGTCAACAAAGTAGAGGTCCAAGTTCCCATTCTCCAAGGTGCCAAGGATCCTGGCTCGATACCAGGAACCATTTGTAGATAAAGGTGCTGCTACAATATCTCCTACATGCACAGTCAAGTCTTCAGGCTACATATGGGGATGAAGAGTTAGCAGGAGGGAGAGTTAAAAAGTGGTAGATAATAAACGGAATACCAGAAAGAACAATGTTGCCCCAGAGAAAGAGACTATGAGACAATGAAAAAGTCATGCCCCAGTACTGTCCTGTTCCTATGGAAACTTACCAGACTATTCTCATAGTGCTGGGTCATCTCACTCACAAGCTTATCTAGTTGCAGGCTGCGGGAGCCAATAATTTGGATCCAGAAGTGGTTAGGATGTTCGGAAGCAGAGACGTAGACTTCCAGGTACTCATCAGCATGAAAACTGAAGTCGGGACTGGGGACTAAACACAGTGATAAGGACTGTGAATATATCAGAATCATCTCTGGTTCAAAGAAGGGAATGTATCAGGAGAATGAGATATACCAATACCAAAAGGCTGTTAACCATTTTAAAAATGGTTGGAGGAACGGTGGATGACTCATCCGAGAATGTCTTAAATACTTAGCTGTTTTCTGTAACTTTCTATGTAAGTAAATAAGTTTACATTCTTTGTCATGTATTCAAATCAGTCACCAATTATAACAGAGGTAACTCTTCTATCTGCAGGAGGATCAGGTACATGGACAGCTATTCTGCTAGTTCCAGATCCCATTCTGGATTATCATTGTGGCCTTGAACAAGTCAAGGAGCCTCTTTTTTGGGGGGGAGGGGTACTGGGGATTGAACTCGGGGGTGCTTAACCACCAAGTCACATTCCTAGCCCTTTTTTGTATGTTATTTAGAGATGGGATCTCGCTGAGTTGCTTAAGGCCTTGCTAAATTGCTGAGGCTGGCTTTCGACTTGCAATCCTCCTGCCTCAGCCTCCTGAGTCACTGGGATTACAGGTGTACCCCACCACATCCAGCTCCAAGGAGCCTTTTTTTTTTTAAGGGGGGGGAGGGAGGGAATTTTTTTATATATATATTTTAATTTTTTTAGTTTTTGGCAGACTCAACATCTTTCTTTGTATGTGGTGCTGAGGATCGGGCCACACACATGCCAGGCGGGCACGCTACCGCTTGAGCCACATCCCCAAGCCCTCCAAGGAGCCTCTTGAGGATCCTCGTCTTTCCTGCCCATGTCAGCACCTTTGCATAGAAGAGAAAGCTCATAGCCTTTTTCTTCTTGAAGAGTGATGGTTTTTAGAACCATCAATGAGACATGCAATAAAAAGAAAAATCAGGTTGAGGACTTACTCATTTAAAAAGTATATCTGGTGAAAGACTATAATGTAAATTCAATTATTTGATGTACTGTTCACAGACTAGTTTGCTGTGTTAGTATATTCCTATCTCATTTGCCTTCATCAGCTGGCTCATATTCAGAAAAAATATTATTAATGTTTAGTATTAAGTAAAATAGTACATTAATCTATGATGATATACTTATAAATACAGTCACAAAAATAGATTTTTTTAAAAAATTGCTTCCTATTTTGGGTCAGTTAAGCCAGTATTCCCATCCTTCATATGTTCCCTCTTTGTTACATACTTTCAAACATGGACATCTCAGGACTGGTCTGGTCTCCAGACTTCTGAAAGCTGTCACCGTTAGGTTTCTCCTTGGAACCATTTTTTGGGCCTACAATAGCCATGTCACCACTTCCTTTGCAGGGAGAAGCTGCCAGGGGTGCAGCTTGCCCCATGCTAGAACTGCTGTTTTTCCATAAAGTTGGTTCTCCAGCTCCACCTGGCTCTGTCACTTCCTCTCTTCTCACACTGATTGGCTGCTTGCGTGGGACTCTGGTTTCTGCAGAATTGGCAATTCTCTTCCGAAGTTCTTCATCTTCTGAAACTTTTTCCAGTATCAAATGCTGTGGAAAATAAAAGAAGAGATAGTATCTATGCAGCCAGATGTTGATCCAGAAAGGAGTTTATAATGGGTTCTTCACACTCTTAGGAATGATCCAAGTCTGTCAACTACTTGCCTTGGCTGCTGCCACTTCCTTCTGTGTTCCTGAGATTTTTATAAGTCTCGATAATAGTAATGTGCCCTCTGATTCTTTGTCACAGGTAATTTTGGCTCCAGAAGCCTTACAGATAGAACGAATTGTCTCGCCGCCTCTCCCTACATTGAACAATACACAAAAATGTGTCTGACCTTAACTATTAGAGAAATCAACATTTTATACATACTATCAGAAGGGAGTCAATTCTCATTTCCAAACTGAACAGAATGCAAGGCGTTGCACAGCAATCATGAGCTATTCAAGACATTACTGTAGGAAAGAGTATACAGGACTCTGGTTTACCCATTTTACTTAAACTCCATACTTTGGGTAGGCTAACTTCATGTCATTTTCATTTTTTGGCTACTCAGCAAGGCTATACAAACTTTACATTTCCATCTCCTAAGATACACACTACATGGTATAAGAACCCTGAAATGAGGGCAAGAACTTCTTTCTCAAACAGCAGCATTAAGGAATGATCCAGGGGAAGCATAAAAGGTGCCAGATACAGCAGGGTTCGGAATGACTTGGGATAACGTGATAACTACAGGTTTTAACAAGAGATGACTGCATTTACCAGAATGTTCTGGAACCTATAGACATATTCTGATCATATCACTTCTTAAAGTAATGGGTTTTGTTTCTGTAAGAAAGTAAAGCTCTGGATTTAATTTCCATTCCTCCCCCACCCCCACAGTAAGGTGAAGGGGGAGTAGGCCAGGAGAATCCTTGGGAAGATGTAAAAGAAAGGCAAAAGTAAAGAATAAAGGAAACAGCACAGGAAGCTGTCCAGTGGTACCTATGATTCTGCCCACAGATCTCTGGGGGACTGAGAGCTGTTCAGACACTGGGGTATTCTCTGTCAGGATCTGGTGGATTGCTGCTTTGGCCTTGCACACCTGAACAGGAAAACCACTGATAAGCAGCACTCGCTCATCGCCTACATCCTCTGTGTCCACATCAATCCGTGCACCTGTCTGTTTCCGCAGCTGCAAAGGAAAGGAGACATGGCAGTGTATTCTGGAAGAGCCCCCAGTGGGGCCCAGCTAATGACATTCTAAACAAACCCTGGAGGTAGATGGAGTTGATAAAACCATCAGTTATTCAGAAATGCTATAATCAGTCTTCATTTACTTCTCTTAAGGAAGGAGATTAATGACCAAGGTAATTACAAATAGCAGTTAATTCAAAACCATTTCTATGATTTATCTTGATTAGAGAATTAAATATTTTGTTTTTTTGACATTTTAACTGAACAATGGAGGATGATAAGAAAAACCAGGCAATTCTACATTTACTGCCAATTAATGATCGAGTTCATTAATTCCATAACAGAAAAGACTGGTTCAACCTATACCAAGCTGAGAATCATCCAATTAAAAACTTCTATTTCAAGCTAAATCATCTATTCTCTAGGAAGGAAAATAGCATAGTTAAAATTTTTCTGTAATTTATCCAGAGCTTTACTTTCTTACAGAAAGTAAGTGTTCGATTTGTGATATAGGGTGAGAGGAAGGAATGAGAAGTCAATAAATAGACACAATATCTGGGAAAGCTGTTTGCCTGCTCAAACACTTGCCTGTTTAATATTGGCTCCTTGCCGACCAATGATGAGCTTCACAGCCTCTTGGGGAACTCGCATCTCTATCTCGATGTCGTCCTCCCCAACAAATGTCAGCCGCTCTTCTGCACAGATCATGGCTCATTAGATCAGATTTAAATACAAGAAACTACCACCATCCCTTCTCAATCTGGTTGTCAGATACATTGATCAAGAGGTAAAACTGTGAATGTCAACCATAATGACTAACAGAAACAGCATTTGAGTGAGAATTAGAAGTTCCTAAAAGAACAGAGATGGGGCTTAGGGTGTTGTTCAGTGGTAGAGTACATGCTTAGTATTCCTGAGGCCGAGTTCAACCCCCAGCAACCCCACCCCCACCCCCAGCACACATGGCCCTTTCTCTTGGATACCAGGCTAACACCAGGAAATGCTAACATGGGGATGTCACCAAGGGAAAAGCAGTCTATGAAAAGGTATTCTAGATTTTGGGCAAACTACTTCTAAGACAACATTCCTGGAGAACAATGAAGGCCAGAAGTTGTCTAAGCCATCTAAGACTCAAAACTTCTCCCGACTTATTTGTACATTAGTTATTTCTCTAGGTCCAGCATATGAGAAATCTTCCTTCTTCTAATAACTAATTAAAAGGAACATAGAAATATTTTTAAAAACCCTCATGTCACATTGATTTTGTAAAAGGATCAATGGAGTTATAAGTTATTTCACAGACTAGCTTCACAGTAAGAACATAGAAAAAAAGAAATCAAATATTTTCAAACTCCTCACAGAAAGTCAATTATATCTTACAAAATAATACATGGTATGGCAAGGAGATAGTTTCATTTCAACTTAACAAGGCAGGAACATGGTTGGAGTATTTTCACAGGCACAATTGTGGGGTTCACATACCTCTGCTTTCCCTGTATCTGCGGTATAGGATATAGGCAACTGTTGCACTGGCTGGAATCCCAAGGCCCAGGGCTATTTTCTGAATAGTGGACATGCTTGTCCAAGAAGTCCGTTCAGTGGACATTTTCTGCTATACTCTGACTTACATCCTGAAACAAGCAAACCAAGGAAAAAGCTTTCATCAGTTTGCTAGGATGGCTGGCATAGGGGCATGAGAACACATTGTTATTGAAAACAATTTTACTAATTTCCCATTTCAAGAGCTTCAGAAATCTCAAAATCTATTTCATGAAAAAGATCTCAAGGTATTAAAAAAGTTAGTGAAGAGGGGCCAGGGTTGTGGTTCAGTGGTAGAGCGCTTGCCTAGCATGTGTGATTCTCAGCACCACATATAAATAAATAAAATAAAGGGCCATTCATAATTAAAAAATATTTTTTAAAAAGTTAGCAAAGGGGGATATATACAACTGTTTCACTTTTTTCCCCCCAAGGAGAAAATCATATTAATTAGTTTTAGAAGCCAGATGATCAAATATTTTTTAAAAATACTTAAATTTCATATCAAACTATTTAAAACTCCTTATCTATGTCCTGGGCCTTTTACAGAAGATGTTATCTCTACAAGGAGTGCCATTCCAGACTCAGTACAATCTTGTAAATATAGACTTGGTTTACCATCTCTGCTTCCGGTTTTTATTTAATCCTCAAAAAAACAGTGAAAGGGAGTTCTGCTCTACTCCTTCACCAGACCTAATTTCCCAGGTCATCAACCTAGAGAACATGTATGCAGCCTTGTCTTACCCTACTGCAGCAGGAGGAAAGCAGCCAAAAATCTTTCTTTGGTTTCTATGTCCTCTTTCTCTTGGTTTCTCCTCCTGTTTTCCCTGTCAGATCCTTCAGAGTCTGGGGATTTCTCTTCCTATGCCTTCTATCCATTGCTAATGGCACTCTGTTCTTTGGGCAATTTCATCCACACCTGCAGCTTTCAATACTACCTGTATGCTAGTGTTTCCAGCAACATAGCACTGGCCTGATTTAGAAGCACATCAAATCTCATTGAGACTTACTGGCCTTATTGCTATAAATCTGACACTGTTTATTCGTTTTGCTGTCAAGCAAATCTTAACATTTCCCTTGCTATAATTCCTTATTGTTACATACATTTAAGTTCTCCCAATGATTTTGCACCTTCTCTTCTCAAACCTCTAGCATCTCCTCCATTCTTTCAAATGATGTTTTTGCTCCCTATCTGAGAAAGCAGAGCCTTCAGAGAAAATATCCACAAGCTTCCCTACATTTACCTGTCTCCACCTTCGCTTGCTTTTATTTTATTTTATTTTTGTGTGTGTATGTGTGTGGTGTGGGGGATTGAACCCAGGGCCTTGTGCATGCAAGGCAAGGCAAGCACTCTACCAACTGAGCTTCATCCCTAGCCCTCCACCTTCACCTGTGACCATGGATGAATTGTCTTATTCCTATAGCTGAATTCTGTCATATTCTTGTTGCTACACCAGGTCTTCTTCCTTTGTTGTTAATGTCCTTCCCTCTATTGGATTTTTCCATCAGACAAACATCCTCTCTTCTTAAAGAAAATCTATCTTTATTCTGCTTATTTCTCCAACTACATCCCATTTCCCTGCTTACTTTCACATGAAGACTCTAGAATGCCAAAACTTCAGTCCTCAAATTTTCTTCATCTATTCTACCTACTTGTCAAGGTCACCATTGATTTTGCATTTCTAAATCCAAAGATCAATTCTTAGTTCTCAACTTACCTGACTTTGCCACAGTATCTGGCATAGCCTGTGATATCCTCTTCTCTAAAATACCTTTGCCTGGCCTCCCCAGCAGCACATCCTCCTGCCTTTATTTTCCTCTTTCTTTATTTTATACAGGGATTGAACCCAAGGGTATCAACCACTGAGTCACATCCCCAGTCCTTTTTATTTTTTACTTTGAGACAGGGTCTTGCTAAATTGCTTAGGACTTCACTAAATTGCTGAGGCTATTTTGAACTTTTGATCCTCCTGCCTCAGGCTCCCAAATCGATGGGATTATAGGCATGTACCACCACACCCAGCCTCTCCCTTTTTGACTGATTTGTTTCAGTTGCTGGTTCCTTCTCATTCCTTGTAACTTCCAAACACTAGATATCCCATGGGTCTGTCCTTTGTTCTCTGTTCTGTTTTACTTCCTGAGTGGTCTCATCAAGTCTCATTCATGGTCTGGCTTTAAATCCCATCTATATGCTGCCAATTCCCAAATTCATGATCTAGTTAGGACTTTTCTCCTATGACCCAGGGTTTGTATATCCAACTGCCTATTAATGACATCTCCTTTTGATATCTAGTAGGCATCTCAAACTGAATAGGTATAGCCCTGAGCTCCTGATTCACTTCCTTCAGGTAGTCTTTGCCATTTCAATAAACAGCAAATCCACTGTTAAATTCCGTAGGCAAAAAATCAGTCATCCTAATTGCACATTCAGTCTGTTAGCAACGTTTCTATGCTACATACTCTACAAATTATCCAGAATCTGAACACTTTATACCTCTCTATTTTTATGATCCTGTTCTAAAACACCATTATCTTTGGCTTAGATTACCACAACTCCTTAATTATGTTCTTGAATTTGCCATTGTCCATTCAGTTTATTCTCAATATAACCTCTGAAGAAAGTCAAATGTTATTTCTCATTTTCTGAGTCAAAGTCAAAACAACAGTGTAAGGTGTTTGTTGTTCCCCCCTTAGAATATAAATACCTTAAGAATAGGAATTATTTTGTTTCATTCCTCAGTGCTTAGCACATAGTAACACTTTATATTATTTTAATCAATATTTATGCAACCCTGTAAGGCAGGAAATATTAACCCTATTTTTCAGAGGTGTACATGTGCTTGAAGAGGTTACCTAACCTCACTCCCAGAGTCTGGGTTATTATTTGTTTATGAAAAAAATCTTTTAAAGTGACTTCAGAAGTCCCTCCCTGACCTTCCTTTTCCTACTAGGGTAAAAATACCTGGTGTTTTATTCTTTGATTAAATTCAATTCAAAATAAAAAAAAAAAACCACTGATAGAAAATATTGCAAATGTCTTAAAAAATAAATAAATAAACCAAAACCGAAAGACAGTACTTGTTTCCAGATATTACAATATAGCAGAACAAAATACACATGGCTTTTAAAGAACTTGCTTTAAAAAAACAAAAAAAAACTGATGATTGGGCTGGGATTGTGGCTCAGTGATAAAGCGCTTGCCTAGCATGAGTTAGATCCTCAGCACCTCAGAAAAAATAAAGTCTCTGTGTTCATCTACAACTAAAGAAAAAACAAAGCAAAACAGATGATTAGTAGGGCACAGTGATGCAGGTTTATAATCCCAGTGACTTGGGAGGCTGAGGCAGGAAGATCACAAGTTCAAAGCCAGCCTTGGAACGTTAGCAAGACTTTGTTTCAAAATTAAAAAAAAGGGGGAGGGGGGCTGGGGATGTGGCTCAAGTGGTAGCGCGCTGGCCTGGCATGCATGCGGCCCAGGTTCGGTCCTCAGCACCACATACAAACAAAGATGTTGTGTCCACCAAAAATTAAAAAATAAATATTAAAAAAATTCTCTCAAAAAAAAGGGGGGGATGGGGATGTAGCTCAGTGGTAAGGTGCTCAGTTCAATCCTCAATACAATAAAAATAAAAATAAAAAAATTTAAAAAGTAAATGAAATTTATGCCATAATTTGCCTCCAGATACAAAAATTCAACCCAAATAACAAATAAAAATCTCTTTCACTTTAAAAAATACTAGTTTTGTCCTAAAAACTAGTATTTTTGTCCTAAAAATCTCTAATTCAGGACTCTGGAATAAAACTAGTTCTAAAAGTGCATTCCCTGAAAGCCTGTGAGGAGGAGCCAAGAGGGAAGGAGACCCAGCATGAAAAGATCACTTCTAGGAACAAATCCAGGTAAGGAGATCAGAGGTGGTTTTCTCATTACCACTCAAACAGACCACCAGAATTTGCATCTGGTGTGTTGGGGATGTAGCTCAATGGTAGAGCTCCTGGTTAGCATGCACAAAGCTCAGAGCTCAAGCCCCAGAACTTGCCCCACCCCAACTGCATCTAAGTCAGGCTGCTTTACCAACTAGAACAGAATGAAATTCTTCAGAGGTATCAGAAGTTTGCCATTAATTTTCTAGGCAGTAGTTTTAATTTAATCTACCCTCTTGCCTAGACTCATAGCCTGAAGGAAAAAAAAAAAAATCAAAACCTTCTTTTATTGTCTTGGTGAAAAAATTTTTATCAAGTATCTTGTCTCTTTGAGACAATTAGTTGCTCTATAGGTTTAGCAAATCACTTTTAGAGACTGGAGCATCAACCTGAGGGAATACTGATCCTTTCACTCTGCTTTTTTAGGGAAAGGATAGAAAGGTTGAGTTTAAAGTGGGCTGTTTTCATTTATGAGGTACTTTCCCCAAATCACTGAATAAAAATTAGTTTCTCCCTCTTTTATTAAATAGCCTGAAAGGTTGCATGATACCAAGTAAACACCTCTGTATACACCAGAGGAAAGGAAATAAATTTGGTTTCATAAGGTTTTGTTTTGGGTAGCAGGGATTGAACCCCAGGGGTTCAACCACTGAGCCACATCCCCAGCCCAGACCATTTTTTATTTTGAGAAAGGGTCTCACTAAGTTGCTGAGGCTGGCTTTGAACTTATGATCCTCCTGCCTCAATCTCCCAAACCACTGGGATTACAGGTGTGTGCTACCACGCCCATCTTTTTCTGCTTAATTTTTGAATACATAACTTTCAAAGTATACTTTCCTATACTAAGAAATAATCTTTTCTTTTTAAAATTCTTAGTTATACATGATAGTAGGATGTATTTTAGCAGAATATACACACATAGAGTATAACTATTCTATTTAGATTCCCACTCTTGTGGTCATACATGATGTGGAGTTACCCTGGTTGTGTATACAAATACAAGGATAGGAAAGTTTTGACCAATTAATTCTCCTGTTTTCCTATTCCTCTTTGTCTAACCCAATGGACTTCAAGTCTTCCTCTCCCCACCTTCCCTTGTTGTGGGTTGGCATCCACAAATCAGAAATAATCTATTCTTTATCTCTAGGAACGATTTTACTTTTTTTCCCCCTCTCCTAGTTACTTCATATATTTATTCATATGGTCTCCAAAGTGCAAAGCTTGTCTTCGTTATTAATGTGCCTTGGTTTTATACTGCTAGTTGAACATGTTAGGGATAGAGGATGAATAAGAATTCCTGCTCTGAGATAGTCACACTTTAGTAGGAGATAAACATCTACTAGACAGTGTAAAAAAAATAAATAAATTATTGGCCAATGCAACAGCAGGGAGGAGCTAAAAGGTTTGTCTTAGATGGGACACAGTTGAAAATCATTTAAAGTAGAAGTCATTTATCCTCTGCCAATTTATTTAAACCAACAAAAACCGAGTATCCAATATGAGCTTGGCTTGGGGGACACAACAGTCAAGAGCTGCTTCCATGGAGCTTCTTGTCTGGCAGAGGTCTTGACAGGAGTATGAAGGTGTTAAAAGGTTTTGGAAAACCAAAAATAAACCTACCCCTGTGCTCTTGAATGCTCTCCGCCTTTAACACCACCTTTCTGGCCATAATTCATGCTTATGGGGCACAGAAATCAGAATTTCAGAACTGGGGGACCGCAGAGACTATTTTCTTCATTAATGATGTTATAACTGGGGCAACTGAGGCTCAGGGATGTAAAAGGATTTTACTGAGGTTACAACGCTGATTAGTCATTTCTACACAATACAAGGTTGAGGGAAATAATTTTGTTTTGAAGGCTAATTATACTCCTACCTCTGTATGGAAGCCAGAAGCACTATAGTTTTTCAGTTCTGAAACTACCAAAATCAAGACCAAGGATATCTGATATTTGGCTGGCTCAGCAGCCAAACTCCCTCAATCATGACCACCTATTCTAGGTTGGGCTTCGTTGATAGGAACTTTCATAGAATCCCAAACATCCCTTCATAACATACACCTTGCTTGTAATTTTTGATTAATGGCTACGTCTGTTGTAAGAATGAACTGAAAGCAGCAAAAGTAGGTTCAGGGAGACCAGACTACTCCAGGTGTCAATGATGGAGAGAGAAGAGATAGTAGTGGATAATTTTTTTTGTGATACTGGAATTGAACCCAAAGTTTCATGCATGCTTGTCAAATGCTCTACTACTGAACTGCTTCCCCCAACCTTTTAAAAATTTGAGACAGGTCTTCCTAAGTTGCCCAGGCTGGCCTGGAACTTGTAGTCCTCCTACCTGAGACTCCCAAGTTGCTGGGCTTACAGGCATGGCTTTCCTCAGCCGAGAGAGTTTTAGTAAGTAGAACACTCGAGACCTAGCCACTGATTTATGGAAAGGCAGAGGGGAGAGCCAAGGAGCTGGCCATCAGGTTCTGGATGGCACACCTGCCATTTGATCGTGTTGGAAGTAGGGAATATTGATTCGGTGGCGGAGTCTGTGTCAGAAGACAATGAATATCCACGACCACGATAAACTTGGTCGGTCGACTTCTATTTGAACCCAAAGCCAAATCTCACCAACCCCTCTTCGGAGATTGCAAATGAGTGCGTTCACCGTGCTGTCAGCTCGTGTCTCCAGGGACGTGTTCCTGAAGCCGAGTCGGTCAAACCCACAAGGGCTCTCCGTTAAGAAACAGAGAGGGATACTGGGGAAACCAACCCAAAGCCCGGCGCATGATTCGGTCAATTAAGAGTGGTCATCTCGTTAGAGAGAACTTCCGAAACAGGTGGGGGAACCAGTCCCGCCGAGACCCGGCTCGACCATGCACACCCTCGCCCGAGTCCGCGGGACCCGAGAGGTCTCCTGGAGCCGACCCCAGGTCCCCGAGGCAGAGCTGCCGCCAAGCAGCGCCCCACAGCCCGGGGCTGACACTCGCCCCGGGGCCTCACACCCCCTCTGGCCCGGGACGCGGGGACGCCCCCCTTCCCTCGACCCCACATTCCTGCCTTCCAGTTGCCAGAGCTGTTCACAGTCCGGCATCTCCCAACACTCCCGCTCTCGAGCCCCGCCTTTACCGCTCCTCCAAGTCGGCTCTCGAGCGCTCAGCCTCGCGCCTCACCCTGGCCACCGCCTCCTCCCACACGCACCGCGGCTAGAGCCCGGCTGGCGGGGCTTCAGTCACGACTTCCCACCCCCGCAGCCCGCCTGCACCAATCAGCGCCCCGCTCTCGGCCTGATCGTCCCCGCTGCAACCAATCCTTCCGCCCGCCTGCCGTGAGCGACGTGCGGCGGCCCGCTGATGTCCAATTACCCGGATGTACTCCAAAGCCGGCCCACCCCGTCAGCCAATAGGATCCAGGAGAGGCAGGTGTGGCTCCTGGAGATCGCACCTGAAGAGAATTAGGCAGCCAATTAGAAGCTTTACCGAGTCCTCCCGGTCCATCTCCCAGCCAATGGCCGGGGAGGCTTCCGCCTCCTAAGCCTTGCGGGAAAAATCAGCGCTCCGGCGGCTGGGACCCAGGTGTGAGGGCGTCGAAGGCCTTGCCCGCGTTACGGTGCTCCCAGGAGGGTGTCTGGGGCAGAGTTGGTGCCACTGCACACCCGCCGGCCGCCGGGGAGCCAGCCTCATTCGGACGGCTCGGCACCACTTTTTTCTCTGGTGACTTTTTTCCTCGCTCGGACCCCCACAAGTGAGAGGAGCTCAGGAGACGCGGAAGACATTTTTTTTTTAATTTGAAAACATGCGAGATAGGCTTCGTGGGTGGGGACAGGCGCTGCGTCACGGAGACCGAGGACCCACGCTTCTGTCCCTCTGCCAAGGCGTGACCCGACGCGGCCCCGACTGCGGCCGCAGCGGAGAGAAGCCCGAGCGCCCCCCGC